GAAGGAAGGAAGGAAGGGAGAAAAAAAGGAAGGAGGAAGGGAGGAAGAAAGGAAGGAAGGAAAGGGAGAAGGGAAGGAAGGAGGGAGGGAGGAAGGAAGGAAGGAAAGAAAGAAGGGAGGAAGGAAGGAAGGAGAAAGAAGGGGGGGAGGAAGGAAGAAAAGAGGGAGGGAGAGAAGGAAGGAGTAATTATTAAGTGCTTACTATGTGCCAGGCACTGTGCTAAGCACTTTACAAATAGTGTTTCATTTGTACCTCACAATAACCCTATCATTAAGTGCTATTGTTATTTTTATTTTACAATCCAGGAAACTAAGCAGACAGAGGTTAAGTGACTTGCCCAGGGTCACACAGCTATTAAGTGACTGAGTCTGGATTTGAACTCCTGACTAGGTCCAGAGCTCTATCCACTGCAAACTAGGAAGCCTTCTGCAGAATCTCCAGTCAGGAGGGGGCTCTGCGCTTGTCCAGCCTGGCCTGTCCGAGCAGGAACTCCCTACCCCTCTGTAATGTCTCTGATAAATGGTCCTTCAACTTCTGCATGAAGATCTCTGGAAATATCTTCCTTAGACTAAGCCAGAATCGGCGGCCTCATCCCTGCCCTCAGGAGGAGGGCGGACAGAACATCTGCTCAAGACCCCCATTATAACGAACACCTGATGGTGAACTCAGCCAAGCTCCGAGCTCCTCATGGACAGACACTGCATTTCATGTCAGGAGTTAGCGTTGGCCTGAGAACCCAGGAGAGAACCTCATTATCTGGGACTGAGTCCTGGGCTACATCCTCCAGAAGCCTGTGCAGGGGAACCACAATGTAGGACATCGTCTGAAGCATTTGGGTAGGGAGGAGCTTTGCTAGGAAGTGCAGAGACACAGATAGAAAAATGACATGAGACCGAAGACTGGGGACGGAACAGGAACGACCAGTGGCTTAAGGGGGGATGTGGGAGCCCAGCAGAGGAAGCCAGTCATGGCGGGGGTGGGGGCAGGCAAGGGAAGCAGTGGTCTGGACCTACAACTGATCATGCTCCCCAGCCTTTGGACCAAAGGAGGAGAAGGAAGACACCGTCTGATGGTCCATCCACTCCCCTGGGGTTGGAGAGGCTGCTGTCCATCAGCGACATTCTATAGTGCCTGCTCTGAGTAACTGACCCAGCCTTCTCCTGCTGTGTAGGAGATAGCCAAGGCTAATCGATGTTCCTTGGGAGATCCATTATGGGGCTGGGGCAGGGGGTGGGTCGATAGATGGCAGCCATTTGGGAATGGGTACCAGGAGCATCAAGTGCTGATCTAATCCTATGTTATTATCTCTTATTCTATTTCATGAATGTCTTAATTTATAATCATTTGATTGGTTTAGTTAGGATGCATCAGCAGGGATTCCTGCTGGTAACTACCCCCAAAAGAACCTGGAGTCCGGGGATACTGAGGCGTCAGTCATCTTTAGATACATGTATCCTCACCATCCATATCTCCTTTCATCATAGGAGAGCTTTTCTGAAAGCAAACTTTGCAAGCTGGGGAGCCCCTGCAGACAAGAGTCAATGGCACAGGATTGGGGGTCATTATGGACCCTCTGCCCAGGCTTCTAGAGGATGCAGTTTGGACACTCTGCCCCAGTGAATGAAGCCTACAATTATACAGCATTAACAAGTCCGTGCTGACACAGGGTGCCTCACCCTCCACTAGTCTGTTTTGTGGGGGAGGGAGAAGACATGGGTCCTCTCTCCCACGTCCTGGAACACTCCCTTCTCCACCCCACCTACTGAGGTCTGGGACCTCCCCTTCAGGTGTGGAAGAGAGCAGTGGACAAGGGGTGAGACTTTCTCCGTTCGGTCCCAGAGGGCAGAATTGGGAGGAATTGATGGCAGAGGGCAGATACCAGACTACTGTCAGGAAAAAATGAATCTAAGCTTCCTGAAGGGAAATGAGCATCCTTGGGAGGTCGCAAGTGGCCGTCACTAGAGGGCTTCGGGCGGAAGCTGCATTCGTCCAGAGTGTTACAGGAGAACACATGCTCCAGTGCGGATCAGACCACAAGGGCTCTGATTTCCCTTCCCACCCTGAAGTCACAGCTGTGGGTGCAGCCCGGCGAAACACAAATCCCATCCACTAAGATGACAGATTTAGAACCAGAAGGGGCCGTAGAGGCCACCCAAGACCTATGTTTGAGATGCTGTGATTCTGTGGGCTACATTCATTTCTCTGAGGAAGACGAGATTGCCTTGGGCTGATGCAGTCAGGTTGCCCAGAAAACCCCAAAAGGGATCACGAAGAGTCAGACGTGGCCGAAACAGCTGCCGAAACAACGTAGTCTGGGAAGGCTGCAGGGTGGAGGGAGGCTCTAAGATGGGCCTTGAAGGTTAGATGGATAGATTTTGGGTAGAAGGAGAGACACACAGAGGTCAGAGGAAACTCCAGGCCAGAGGGCAGCATGAGCCAGAGAAGAGGCAGCTAGCTGCCTCACAACTTTGCCTAGTCCAGGGCTGACCGCCTGATGCAGGATACAATAAAGATAGCTCATGGGCCCAGAAGGTCAATCAATCAATAAACATGTATTAAGTGCCTACCATATGCCAGGCACTGTGCTAAGTGCAGAGGATACAAAAAGAGGCAAAAGACAGTCCTTGCCCCCAAGGCGCTTACGATCAAATGGGGAAGAGGACGGGCAAACAAATAAATACAAAGTGAGCCCTAGCCAGGAAAAATAGGAAATAATTAACAGAGGGAAAGCACTGGAAGTGACGGGGGTTCGACAAGGCTTCTTGTAGAAGGTGGGGATTTTTGTAGGGACTTAGTAGGGAGGTCAGTAGGAGGAGTGGAGGAGAGAGTGTTCCGGGGCAGCGGAGAGAGGAAGAGAGAGTGTCTGGAGCTGAGAGATAAAGGGGTCAAAGGAACATAGCTGGAGAGCTGGAAGAAACATTTAGTCTAACCGCCCCTCACCCCAGGTGAAATAACTGATCTCAGACTGAATAATAATATGATAATAATAATAATACAATAATAATAATAGCCTTTATGTAGCTCCTTAAGTTTTACAAACACCAACACCCCACGACTCCGATTCTCCAACCTCTGTTGGTAAAGAGTTTAGAAATAACAGACCTGCTGCTACCGTGGGGAAAAAGCCCTGACTCCAGAGACGAAGGCCACGGGTTCAAATGCCGCCTCTGGCACCTACTACCTGTGTGACTGAAGTGGTCATTTAATTTCTCAGGGCCTCAGTTTCCAAATGAGGAGGTTTTGTCAATGACTAAATCTATGCTATTCTGAGCGCGTGGGGGTGAGACACCCCAGCTTTTCCAGCTCCCAACCACATTAGGGGAGAATTCCTGGGTTCAACTTGGGAGAAACAAAATGGAGAGCTTCCCATCGGACTTACCTGTAAGGACCAGGGCCTGGCAGAGGTGCATTGCAGGTGTTCACAGTGCAGCTGGTCTCATTACCCACCCTGAGGATGCGGATATCTTGGGCATTTGTCTCATTGGAGTACAGTGCTCGACTGGCCTGGATAGTCATGTAGTATTTTTTCTCCAGGAATGTCGAAGCGTGGGGTATGCCTTGGGGTGACTGGGGAGCCGTGAAGTTGTTGATAGCTGTGGAGTCCGAGAAGGCAGCTGAGATTTTCAGAGCAGTTGACTCCTCACAGACCAGACCCAGAGACGTGGAAGGTAATGCTAGGACTGTATTCTGGAAGCCATGCTGTTCCTCCTAATCTAATCTCAACCTCAGCCCCAGACAACACCCTAGAAGCTTAGCCTGGGAAGAACCAACCCTGGGAATTGCCATCTCACTTAGGACCAGCTTTATACATAGAGGGAGCAAGTGACCAACTGCATGACAGGTGTGGCCAGGGAGATCGTCTTATCTAAACTTTGGATCTCTCCCAGTGCCTAGAGCAATCATCTGCACACAGTAGGTCCTTCATAGAATACCTATTCCCCCACTCACCACCTCTGTAATTTTCCAGCCCTAAGTGTCCCTCCCTGATCACCCTTCTCCTATGTGTGTGGTCTCCCTCATTAGAATGGAAGCTCCCTGAGGGCAGAGAATTTTTTATTTCTGTCTTTGTAGCCCTAGCTCAGGGTGATGCCTGGCGCGTAGTAATTTTTTGAATAAATGAGTTTTCATTCTTTCATAAAGGGCAGAATTTGAGGGATGAAGGCAAGGATTACACTTTTTCATCTCAGTAAAGCCAGAACACTGGGGATGTTTTTACTGTTTGTATCTGTGATTTCTTTGGAATAGGGAGCTTCCGGTGAGGAAACTCCCCTCTCTCAAAGCGGATCACCACTTTCTTTCTTATAGTCTTAAAGAGTTGCCCAGATTACTCAAGTGACTTTGCTAGAATCACATAGCCAGTCTGGTGGGATTTGAACACAGCTCTTCCTGACTCCTAGGCCATATACTACCATTTTCTACTTACAGAATACACTAGGCTGCCTGATTTTGCACCCAGTAGGTACTTTGCAAGAAATTGTTGAATTTAATTTGGTTTGCTCCAGGTCTGAGAAAAGGGAGTTGGGGCTGGGGGGATGGCAGTGGAACCCAGAACCAGGGAACAGACAGACATCAAACCTAGTCCCATCCCCACCCAAGTCAAATCTCCCATTTCGAAGAGGGGAACAGTGAGGTCCTTCTATTCCCCGTTACCCCTAGACATTTACGTGGACAGCACATACCATTGCTAAAGGCAACCACAAGCCATATATCATCAGTGTCACTGAGGTCGGGGCTGTTGAATTGGCCATTGGGTTGATCTAGGGTAAAGGTAGAGCTGGTGATGCTCCCTTCCAAAGGCTTCCTGGTGAGGACCGGGGTATAATCAATCTCTGGTGGATGATAACAAAAGGAGGAAAAAAAGAGTGATAAGGAACAGGTCCCTGGGGTTAGCCAGACGGTAGACCCTGATAGGGAAGGGTCGACTGTTCCTATCCCCTGAGGGAGCCCCTGAGCTGATGAGACACATGCTCACCTGAAAATGAGATAAGAAACCAATTAATTATGGTCGTGTCAACTGTGAAGAGGCTGGTCTCAGAGCGCAGGAGTCTTGGATTCAATCCCCCGATGCTGACAGATTTTGGTCACCCTGGGTAAGTAACTGAATGTTTCAGTGACCTAAATAACCTTTTAAGACTATGGGAGTTCCAACTAGCACTGATGAAACCATAGGTGCTGACCCAACTAACCAAACTATGTCTTAATTAGAAAAGCAAAAGCCTCAAGCACTGACTGCCCTGACTAGGTGGGATGACCCTGGGGCAGTTTCAGCTAGGAGATGGGAGACATGTAGTTGTTTTACATGGATGAAGGGAGACACACCCTCTCAGACAGGGAAGGGAGAGCTGAGTTCTTGATCCAGAGAGGCTGGGAAGGGCCAACGGGTGGGGCCAACACCCTTTACGCCAAACTGGTCAAGAACAATCCATCTCTGCTTATGGTTAATCCCCACCTTCTAGAGCCCAACCCTTCGTTGACGGATGGCTGCCCCTTGAACATCAGGGGAGCGAATGGACAACAGATGCCGTTGCCTGTCTCTCTCTTTCTCCACCATTCGACTCACCCCAGGGCTATGCCTTCTGGCTGAAAGTGAGGAGCTGAGAATGAGGACGTTGGCCAGGTGCGGTATCAGGAAAGCTAGACCAAGCACAGGGCCATGGCATAGAGCATAAGCTGAGTCGGGAGATCTGGGTTCTGGTCTTAGCGCTGCCACTGAGTGGCTCAGAGGCCTTGGGCAAGTTATTTTATTTCTCTGGGCCTTGATTTCCTCTTCTGTAAAATGGGAGAAGGTAGTAGAATGGATTAGATGATTTCTAAGGCTGCCTTCAAGTTTGGAAATCCTCTACTTCTATGAGAACTGTATCTGGTCTGATTGGAGAGGATAGCAATGGTGGGAATAGGGAGCAGAAGAAAGTATGGTAACCCCTTGGACCCTCCAATTAACAAGTCAGGTGCTGGTCTGAATAGGGTGGTTGACAGTCCTTTGACTGGTCTCGATTTCCCATCTGGGTGCAGACTGGGAGTGTGCATGCCCTTCTCTTCCCCATTCCTTTTTTGTGCCCTCTCCCACACCCAACCACTGATGCCCTAGCATAGTGTTTTCTCCTAAGATCCTCTGTTTATTCACTTTACAGCCAAGCCAGCCCTAGGAAGCCAGGGGAGAACAGTCTGTGCTCATTTGACAGGTGGGGAAACTGAGGCTTGGAATGCTTCTTACGGATGTGCCACAGAGTCTGCTGAGCCACTGAGGAGAGACACATTTGTGCGTTAGGAGCCACTGAAGCCTTTAGCACAGATAAGCCTCAAATGGGGACCCTAGCGTGGGACCCTGAGCTTCTGGAGGGGTTGGGCTAGAAGATTATGAGGTCTTTCTTAGCTCTTAGGGGGCAGGGGGCTGACTCTTTACTATCATGGGAGGTGCTCCCCCAAGTCCCAGCCTTGAGGAGGGTTCCTCTTGTGTTTGAGGCTTCATAGGTCATTAGAGCCATCATTAGCCATCATCCACCCAGGCAGGTGGTGTTGTGTTTGGAATCAAAGGAACTGAATTCAAATGCTGCCTTTTTCACCTATGGGACCTTGGATAAATCACTTCTCTGGTCTTCAATTCCTCATCTGTAAATGAGGGTCTTAGATGAGATAGCCCCTGAGGTCCCTTCCAACTGTAAACCTTTGAATATAATGTATGATGGGTCACAACTTATATAATGATCAGTTTTCTCAACTGTAAAATTATTAGTGTGGCTTAAAGTAGATGGTACCTAGAGAGGTACTATGGTCCAGCAGAAGGACCCCCAGTTTAGAGTTAAGGACCTGAGTTTGATTCTCAATGGCCAATTCTCCCTGCGTGACCTGTGCCTCAGTTCTTTACCTATAAAATAAAGGGGGGGGGGGTTGAGCTAGGGACATCTGAGGTCCCTTCCATCCCTAGATCTATGATCTTAAGTCACTGAGATGCCTCTGGGACTCAGTTTCCCTATCTGTAAAATGAGATTAGACTAGTGGGCCTCTAAGTTCCTGTAAAGTCTAAATCCTATGATCCCTTTACTCAAGTTTTAAGTAGAGAGAAATTCAGTATCCATTATCAGACAGGGTCACTGGATTGGCTATTTCTGCTTAACTGTCTTTCTTTGTTACTAGGGAGGGTTCAATTCCAGAGTGAAGGTGGGTGGTATTTCCAGAAAAGACTCTGATGTAAAAGCAAAAGGCATGAATAAAATGTCAAAGAAACAAAAAACAAATGCATCTGGGATTAAGTCCAGTACTCCTCATTTTGATCTGAGCACTGAGACCATGAGAAGGGAAAGAACAGTTAAAGACAAAGGAGGGAAGGTACCCAGGGACCTACTTCATCACCCTCGCCATCTCGCTTCAGGGGTCCTCAATGCTCACTCAGGTCAGTGTCAGGTGATGGGGAAGAGGGGGGTCTGGGTGAATCGGCCTCTCCAACACCCCAAGAACTGACTCATTCCCCCATTCTCTAGACTGGGACCCCAAAGTCTGCTGGGAACATGTTGGGAGGTACATTCTAGCAGGCATAGCCCCGTCAACTTTCTCTAACCTAAAAAGATGCCCAGAAAATCCAGGCTGATTTTCTCCTCCAATCCTCCCCCCAGGAATCCAGAAGGAAAGATGCCCCCATCTCCCATCCCTCTGTTCCTGGCAAACTCACCCAGGCTGGCTTCCGCTGGGATACTGGTCACTAGGAGCAATAGCGTCGGTAAGAGCCATCCTTGAGGGAGCCCCATGGTCTGGATGGATGGAATGTTGGAAGGTCCCTTTGAGGGTGACAGTGTCTGAGCCAGGACACACTCTGGAGAAGGAGAGATGTGCTCTGGAAGGAGATTCTGTGGTCCACCCAGAAGGTCCTCCCCCACCATCTCCTCCCCCGTCACGCTGTGCTTCGCCCCCCACCCCCGACAAAGCACACACCCTGGGCCTGGGGAAGAGGACTCCAAACCAACTGGTAGGACGGGTTTTTAAGGAGAAACTAAACTTTAGAGTATTTTGTGGTGCTAGGGAGGGACCACAATGATTGAGGAGAACGATCATTGTGTTCCGCTACAGACAGATCTGGACTCCGATTTGCCCCCTTCCCCTGGTCCTCTCTGCCTTAGACAACTGAGCCAAATTGGGACAGGGTCCAGGGGGCCCCACAAAACCCGCTTCATCCCTCGGTCTGGACAGTCTTCCTAAAGATAAGTCCTAGACCTCTGGACAGAGACAGTGCAGTTCAGTGTGTACGCACATGATGCTGAATGAGCAGATGGAAGTCTTCTGAACATTGACCTTCGTCGATTCAGTCATTCATTCATTCAAAAAACCATTCATTAAGCAGAGTGTGACAACACTCCTCATAGAGCATAGGATGGAGGTTTGGGGCGGGAACGGGTCTCACAGGCCACCTAGTCGAAATCTTTTATCTCATAGGTAGTGGTTTAATGGGGTGGCATTGGAGGGTCCCCCTTATGGATGTTCATTTCTCTTCTATCAGTAGTACTTGCAGCACAATCACCCCTTTGGGAGGAGGGTCCTGCCTGGATTGACTCCCTTTTGCTTAAAGAGCCTATCTTAATTATGTCTAGGGGTATGTCTGTATATTTGTATCTATATCATACATACATGAAATACTGCAGTATTTTGTCATTTCCTTCTCCAGTTTATTTGACAGATGAGGAAACTGAGGCAAACAGGGTTAAGTGACTTGCCTAGGGTCACAGCTAGTAAGTGTCTGAGGCTGGATTTGAAACTGGGTCTTCCTGTCTTTAAATCTAGTATTCTAATTTATGGTGCCACCTACCTGCGGCATTGTGAAAGTTTGTAAAAATGTACCTGTCCCTTTGGCCAAGTGATGTATTTAACCTTATGGTTCCAGCTCCATTTTCACTAGGACAGGTGAAGCCTGGCACGGGGCCCTGGCAGGGAGAAGACACTGGGATACATGCACTTGGGGAACAGAACTTTGGCAAATGCTCCTTCGGAGGCCCTGGGCCAAGTTTGTGTTTCGTACTCCTAGGGAGAGATGTTCCAGGAATGTGGGAACTAGGGAGGAACCACACTTAGGTAGGAAGGCATCACACTGGGCCCTGGAGGACAGGAAGAGATGGTTGACCAATGGATGGAAATGGAGTGACACACAGCAATTTGTGTGTGTGTGTGTGTGTGTGTGTGTGTGTGTGTGTGTGT